AGGCCATTTGGAACAACACTGGTCAGATACTCACCCGACTTGTTCCTTCCTGTTCTAAGTTGGTGAATGCCTTAACAGCTTGGCAGTTTTAAGCTTGTGCAGCCAGCTGGGAGTTAGAAATCCCACAAGCAGGACCCAGGGACCAATGCTTCAACGTTTTGATGCAATTCATTTTCTTGAAATTTTTCTGGCTGAGTTGTGTGACCCATGTAGGTGAGAAGGTGAGTTTCATGTTTACCTGGATCTGGCTGCACCCTAAGTACAGGCCTAAAGACGCTCTTCTCAGCAAAGGACCCCCATTCCTTCCCTCTGCCCTCTCTTCTTCCTTCTCCTCTCCCACCTCCCTTCTTACCTGTATGGTCAGGTGTGGATAGCAGCCCTATTCTGACCCTGAAGAAACAGCTGGAGGCTGATGATATTGCCTTCTAGGAGTGTGTTTCTCTGGGGCCTACCCAATCTTGGGCCTTTAAACCCAACCCTCATTTCCCACTCCTACGGTAATATTCAGAGCACTGAGACGTTGGTCTGCCCTAATCTGGCACAGAATTACTACTGTTTCTTTCTGTGCTTGTTGGTTTTATTGTTGCTGTAACCAAAACCCAGACAGAAACACCATACAAGAGGAAGGATACATGTGGCTCATGGTTTTAGAGAGTTCAGTCCACCATGGTTGGGTACGCTGAGATAAGAGTAGCTTACATTGCAATAAGCAGGAAGCAGGAAGATAGGAAGTGCCAGGGCTACTATACCCACAAGGACCCACCCACTTTGTGCTACTCCCTATCCCCAGACCCTGCATCCTGTCTCTCACCACATCTACATACCGTGGTACTGTTGTTGTGAATTCATTAGGATCATGCTAGAGCCCTCATGATCTGCAGATACCCTGGTGTGTACGCACAGAGGCATGCTCTCCATCATCTCCTATTGGGTTCTTAGTCCAGTCAACCTGGCAATCAAGATTAGCCATTACAATCCCAAATTCATACTTTAAATTCTGATGACCCCTAAGGGACTGGCCTCACATGTAGAAGACATTTGGAAAACACATGGAACGTCAGCGAAGGGTTGGGCAGAAGCGTGTGTCAGCAAAGCGACGTGCTTTGCACCTGTGATTCTGGACTAACCTAGGTTGGGCAGTGTGCCTCAGTCAAATCTTCCCAGAAAGGGAGCTACATAATACCAGGAGTTGGGAGATGTGATAATGTTCTATTTTCACAGATGTCTCACCACAATCATTTGTAATAAAAAGTCTATGAGAGGGGGAAAGCAGAGCTGCCCACGAGGAAATGAGAGCAAACGCTCCTCTACACGGGTGTAATCTTCTGGCGATGGTCCTTTTAGTCCAGGCCCTGGACACATCTGCAAACCTGGACAAAGTATCTCAGCCTGAGGTGTCAAGGGCAGCAGGAAGGGTCTCTTCTGTAGCTTTTCAGGTGAGCAGGTAATGGGTGTTATAAACACACCAAGCTTGTTCAGGATGCCTGATTTGGCTTCCCAGTGGAGGCCATAATGCATGGTCTTTACCCTTATGACCATGGACATGTTTACACAGTCACCTGCCTATTTAAAAGTCACACTTGCTCATCTTCTTTCTTACAGTCATGCCACACAGCTCATGTGGAGGGGGAATCTGTTCTCTTCTTTCACTTCATGGGTCCCAAGGACTGAACTGAGGTCTCAGGTCATCGGGCTTGGTAGCAAATGGCTTTACCTGCTGAGCCACCTTCCCTGCCCTCACTTGCCTTTTTTTTTTTTTTTTTTTTTTTTTTAATGGTTCTTTTTAGAATGTGGTCATGGCTCATGAAATCACAAGGAGGCAAATGACTTGATCCAGCTTCACGCAAAGAATATGTTAAGGTTCTAAGCCACTGCTAGTACTAAGACTCTATGTTTGTGGGTAACATATCCTAATTTTCTCCCACACTGAGTTATTCTCCATCAGATGGAATTCCTCTGGCCTCACTGTTACTGACTTTTGAGCCACGGTGAGGGGCGCCTGCTCTCCTCCTGGTGCTCACAAAGCCGCTGCCCGCCACAGTCCTAAGGATTGCCAGAGACCCCAGCGGTTGCTGCGCCACCCAAAGACTCTAACTGGAAGGAAAAACATCTAAATTGAGCTTTATAAAATACTATTAAAATATGTATTCTACTGTCTCTCACGGGAAACTTAAGTATTTGAAGAGTTTTCTTTACTTGTACCTCACTCACTGTTTCAAAGAAACATATGAGAATGAGAACACAAACAACATTTTTTCCGAATTATACCTAGGAGAGATTAAATTTTGCTCCAAGTTAAATCGCTACATTCAGTGGATTTTAATTATTTTTGTCCCCATCTCCCCACCTTAATTTCTTTGTTTTCCTCTTAGGTTTCAGTGATTAGTTTGTGAGTTCAGGCCACACTGATCATGAGACTAAACACTCATCAGATAGACGTGGTGTGCCAGGCTTCATTCCTCCTCTTGGCTGAGCAGGCTCAGCTCTTCTCTCAGGTTTATTATGTGCCTTGGAGCTGAGGATGGTGACAGAAGTCACCATGACCCACATGGCTCTGCTGGGCTTAGAGGCAGATGCCCACTCTCCCTTCCATTGGGATCCATGTTTCTTCCAGTCTAACTCAACACCTTGGGTGGTAAGCCCCGCCCCCTACTTGCCTACTTTATGTCTCTTCTGAAAGGCTCCGGGTGAGGTGCTGTGTACAGGGCAGCAGTGATGGGTACCGGTTATTTTCTCGGAAGAAACCTGAGGTCTGCTCTCTCTGCCCACCGTGTCTTCTCATGTGGCTTTCTCCAGCAGCTATGGGCTTACAGTGCTAAGAATAAAGCTTAACACACACACAACGGAAGCCACATCTTACCGAAAGCCTCCTTAATGTTGGCTTAGATGGGAAATGGAAATGGCTGTGTTATCCCTCCTCTAAAGCATTTCTAGTGCTCAGTCTCCATGAAATGGATTGCTTATGGGGAGTTAATGTCTGTTCTATTCCTTTTTAAGTCTGTGAAAAATGTCATCCTGGTTAATAGGGTGATTAAAACCCTTTATGCTCCAGGAGATAAATGTGATTATGTTTGTCATACTCTACCCAAGATAAAGACGGCAAAGAAGGCAGACGTGAAATTCCACAACACTTCCTCTCTTCCGTATCCGGGGACATTCAGGACTCGTACACAGATGGCTCCTCACATAAAGAATAACATTATCTCTTAAACATTTTTCCTTCCCATTAACCAATTTAACAATATGCCTCTGGTATGAACGAAACAGACAAACGACTAAATCCTCTGGCATCTGAATTCGGTGGAAAAACACTTTAGTGATATCGCTTGCTTGCTCTTTTGAGTTTTCATCTGTTACTTCATCTTTGCTTTTAAAAGGCAATCCGGGCCTATGCCTACCTTGTCTAGGAAAGCTCTATCAGCAAGGTGACTCGGGTTATTCCTATGGAGATCTGAAGTGCTGGGTCAGGGCTTTAACATTAGGCATGGCACAGAAGCAAGCACTCCTCCATTCCTTTGACACATGGTCCTTCAGGTCCAGTGGAAACACAGTGCACGCTCAGCCCCTCCCTAGGACATGGCTGCCATCAGCACAGCCTATACAGCCCTTGTGGCAGGCACTGTCACATTTACAAGGTCCTATCCTCCAGGAGCTTATAAGGCAGGACTCTAGTAGAGAGAGTCAAGATTAATAATGGTTTCTCTTTTTATCCCTTCAGTGAATACAGGAACTCTCATTTTCTCCTACCCAGTGGTGGTCTTCACAAAATCATGAGGAAGAAGATGTGTGAGAGTTTGTAGACAGTGCCCCTCTGTACATGCCCGTTCCACTGGGCCTCCACCTTTCCTTCTCTGCAGTCAAAGGGCAGGAAGTTTTTTCTACCCAGAGAACTGGTTAAAAACAAAAAATGGGGAAAGATTTTTTTTTTCCCCTGCTCCACACTTGCTGATAAAGCTCACAATCTTTTCTTGGATTTTAGCAGGTTACATGTGAATCTCAGACACCAATTACACCTGTTTAATTAACAATACAGCAATTTTAACAGGGCAATGTAGTCTAGAGAAAAATGTTACATTATGCACTTGACATTTCACTTAAAGAGTTCCTTTAGAACTAAAAGGTTTCACAGTAACAGATTTTGAATGCACTTTATGGAACACGATAGCTGATTAATCAGGGCCTAGGTAATTCGAAAGGAGCTATACACCTGACATTCAAACAGAGGGCTTTTCTCTAGACACTGACATGCTAAGGCTTCTTCTTCTTTTTCTTCTTCTTCTTTTTCTTCTTCTTCTTTTTCTTCTTCTTCTTCTTCTTCTTCTTCTTCTTCTTCTTCTTCTTCTTCTTCCTCTTCTTCTTCCTCTTCCTCTTCCTCTTCCTCCTCCTCCTCCTCCCTCTCTTGCTCTCTCTTTTCTGAGACAGGACAGTGTTTCTTGAGGTAGGACAGAGTTTCTCTGTGCAGCCTTGGCTGTTCTGGAACTCTGTCTATAGACCAGGCCGGCCTTGAACATACAGAGATCCACCTGCCTCTGTCTCCCTAGTGCTGGGATTAAAAGTGTTTGCATAACCTGGTAGCTTTTCTTTAATTATGTACATGATCACTTCCTATCAGCTTCTGTAAGGGATCATGGAGCACATAAGAGGTTGGATTCTTAAGAATTAACTTTATTAAGAAATAGCACCAAGCTGGGTGGTGGTGTTGCACACTTTTATTTCCAGCACTAGGGAGGCAGAGGCAGAGGCAGGTGGATCTCTGTGAGTTCGAGGCCAGCCTGGTCTACAGAGAGAGTTCCAGGATACCCAGGGCTACACAGAGAAAGGCTGTCTCAAAAAACAAAAAAACAAAAAAGAAATGGTACTAAATACTTAATACTGGGACTCAGTGCTCAGCTGAGTTTCTGATTTAAAAGATATCAGATAGGTTACAATTCCACTGTATTTACTTTCACCACTTTGACAAAACTACAAACTGTCAGTCAGGATACAGGACTTAGAACCAATTTCTCTGCAAAGTACACTTTATTGCCATGATATCACCATTACCATTTCAACACAGTGTTCCTTTCTGAGTCACTGTCATCTGCTGCTGGCTTTTGTCCTGTGTGTAAGAATCTACAAGTTCTTCAAGGGAGGGCCTTGGCACATGAGTACTAGCTTCCAACCAGACTGTGTTCAGGACAGGCTGCTCCCATTTCCAGTGCTTGGTTCACCACTTTGCAGACTGGCCAATAGAAACATACCTTCCAAATTCTTAGTCTTAGCGTTAAGATAGGCCCTTAAAATTTGTTTAGACACACTGAGGTATGCATGCTGTTAGGAGTCTGCTTATCAACATTTTCCTACTAAAATTATAGCTTGAAAATTTCATGTGTGGACACTGTACTTACAGCATTTACAACCCCCTTTCCAACCTTGGTGTCCACTCTTCCTTTCAAATTCATGACCTCCTCTTTGCTATTTTATACAAACAAACATAGGTGCACAGCATACATATAACCTGCTGAGTTCTTGAAAAAGATTGGTTTTTAATTGTGCATTGTTTTTGGTTCCATACACATGTGAGTGCAGGTGTCCACAGAATCCAGAAATGACATCAGATCCCTTGGAGCTGCAGGTGAGGAACCACATGGGGTGTTGGGAAATGAACGGGGGTCCTCTGCAAGAGCAGCGTGTACTCTGGAGATCTCTCCAGCCCTCACACGATTTTTCTATCTTAGTGTGTGTGTGTGTGTGTGTGTAAAACACGGTTTATTGTTCTAAACAGAAATATTTCCTCTGGGATCCTTCTTCAAGGAGAATTTTTAGGGAATTAAATAGTCCCTTTAGCTTTAGGAAAACATTCCCTCCTTGTGCCACAGACCCAGAGATGCTGCGACCAGCGGGTTCGCCGCCACCTGCACGTGTTGCTGGAGGGGAGTCAGCCAGTCCTTTCTCAGATGCAGAGCTTCCAATGCTGCCCCTCCTGCAGCGGTCCTGGAGTCGCCCACGCCCATCATTTTGATCCCAGGGCTTCCTCCCACTCAACAGCTGACTCGGGGTTTTTGGGAATTGGTGGAAATATGGATTGCATCTTACTTCGAAAGTCCTTCATCTAGAAGAAACACAAAATAAAACATCAACTGTCAGAAGAAGGGGGGAACAGATGAAGCAGAGGCAGCGTCGTGCTGAGTGTAGAATACTCCAACCCTCGTGAGTACAGAGCAAATGACAGGGCAGGGAAGCCAAGGACTGTACTCAACATGGAAACAGACCCCCGTTCTTCCCAGTGTGAACCCACTGACTAACAACAGGAGCTCCACTCCTGGTCTAGAAGGCGGCATCGAAGCCAACAGACCCCCTGGGTGCCTATCAGAAGAATGGAAAGCGCAGGGGCTTCCATTTGTAAAGATGCAGTGGACAATAGAAACTCCTGTCCATCTAAACACATGGTTAAACTCAGGCCATTCAAAGTCAGAATTTTAGAGCTAGAGGGAGGGTAAGAAACAAAACTTGATGACAGGTATACCAGAATGCTCTTATGTGCCAGTGTGAAAACCCACACTGAGAGCTCACCAGTGGAAGGCCATCTGAGCCAGTGTCAAGGAGGGCACGGGAGGTCACACCATGGCATGCTGACCTGCTGACCTGGAGGGCATCACTGATCTGTGGGAGAGGACAATGCCTAGGTGCACATTCAGCCCATCCTTTTGCGTGTGTATGATGCTGCCATGCTGAGCTCTCAGTAGCAGTACCATGGTCCAGGCTGACACCATCAACCGTACCCCATTTCCTTTGGACACTGGTTCACAAAGTTCCTGGGGCTCTGGGGATCTTTAGCAACACATTTCTGGGAGAGGCTATTGCAAATACACGTCCCTTTTTTGCTGTTGATATGTATTTATTTCAAAGAGAAGCTAAGTCTTTATCTTGTTGCCAAACTTGGGGGCTACATCTTTTTCAGTATTTGTAAATTCTAGGCTAGTTTATATCACACATGTGGTGAAAGACTTCAGAGTCAGAGATCTGCTCAAAGCCCAGCCCAGTCCTGTTGCCTCTTACCAGCATGGACATATGCAGAAAGAAGTAATCACCTGCCTCAAGTGTTGGGAGGGCAAGGTTAGGCATGCGCACAAAGCACAGCCCCAGCTCACACTAAGTACTCCATGGGAAAAGACCATGATCACTGTAGCATTATCCAGAGTGTGTGCTGTGTTCCAGAAACAACGTTCCCATGGATATAAACATCATGGCATGTTTATTAAAAGCATGTCTTCATTGTTAGGTACCATTTGGTATGACTATTCTCACTATTCTATGGAATCTGTAGGAGGCCAGCCGTCTGCATTCGCTATAGCCATTTGCATAGCTAGGCACTCACTTTACCATCAAGCCCCCAAAGCACCACACTTCCTGGTCTCTTTCTTGTTTCAGTCAAAACACAGAAACCTGCCAGCCAGACACTACTTTGGAATACACACACACGGCACTGTCACGCCCCACTTCTTCTGGGCTGTACTGTGACGAGCCTTCATGAGCGGTTCTCCACAGCAGCAGCACTGCCTTCCTGGAGAGGGACTAGAACTGGGGAGGGGTCTCTTTTGTGGTCACAGTTGCTGTGGCTACTATTTGCAGTTGGTGGCAGGCAGGGGTAACAGAGATGCTGAGTATCCAGGATTTACATGACGCGCTGCTTGTCAAAAATGCCATTCACAACCTACTGAGGGACTCTGCACAGATGTTTGGAGTTGAAACCCAATGACTCTGGCCACAGTTTGCAGTAGGCTGTTCTTTTTGTCTTTCTGGCTCATGTCTTTTACAACTTGTGTTGGAGCATAGGTAGGAGCACAAGTGTTTTCCACTGTCTCTCAGTGACGCACGTGGTCAGCTGTCGGGCACGCTGGGAGGAGGGAGCAGGATAGCTGTCCTCTCCCCCCACCCGACCTGCTCTTCTGCCTTCAAGTTCTCAAGTGTTGCATTACTCATTTGTTCCTGAGGTCATAAATGAGTCAGGAGGAATCATATCTGACAAACAGTCAGCCAGCACTGGTCAGGTTTCAGGCTGAGATGTGGGACACTGAGGATATGGGATAAAGAACACCTCTGAGCCCTGTGCCTTCAAGCTGTAAAGACGGAAACCCAGAGTCCACAATTATGTAATAGGCAGGCTCTGAACGTTGCTTCAAAAAACAGGGCTCCATAGGGTTCCAAGCTAGTGTCACTTATATTTATATGGACAGTGTCTGTATTGAATATACCTCAGTGAAGGTCATACAACAACCAATGGGTTACTCCCCTGTTTAAAGATGCCCTGGAAAAAAAGATTTAAAGATTGAGTATAATTAAGTCTGGACATAAATATACTAAGGATAATTCGCAGCTAGTGACACGGAACTTCCCCTCTGACCCCAGAAATGGATGAATGTGAGCATTCTGATCACATGACTCCAAAGAACCGGATTTCCTCCATGTAGTTCGCTCTTGTTCCTTTGACCAGAGAGGAATTGTTCATGCTATAGGTTGCAGGGCCACCCTTAGAAGCAGGGCCTCTGTGTGCAGCCATAGGCTGTTTCCTGAAGCTCTTGTGTTCTATGCAGGGATAGAGAGGAATAAATGGCACAAAGGTTCCTTGGGGTAGAGGGCCACCACTCCTGGAACCTTGACCTGGATATCCTGCTCTTCTCATGTCCAAGTACTCAGCTGTAATGCTGCAGCGCTCAAACAGGGTGTCATGACAACTGGGGAAATTATTACAAGTAATTTATCGGACATTCAGGGAACTCAGTCTAACTGACTTTAGATGTTAGAATAGAACCAAGATTGTGCCTCTAGTAATGTTCTCGTTCGCATTCCAATAGCTTCCCCAGGGCTGTGTAGCCAGTATGCTAGGGGTTAGAACAGCCAGCGGCGTGCCTTGAGTCTTTACGAGAGGCCTGGCGTAGCTATCATTCACCCTCAACAATGAGTGGGGCAAGTGCCCACTCTAAAGACAAAGGGTGGAAGGTTAGAGGAACCAGCGTGTCATCCCGGCTGGGAAGCAGGCCTGCCTGCAGGACTGTGTTTGCACTCTGCACCATTTGTACCCAGGCATGGTGCTGCCCCACACGGCCACAGCATGTCTGCACGGCGAAAGAAGCTTCCCAAGCGTCGCTTGGTTCACTTGGATGACACCACTTCCTTGGGAATCAAAACATTTCTTTTTTCAATAAATAAGTATATGCATTCTGATCAACAAGAAAGGGCCATTTTAATTAATTAAAGATTGCTGTTTAGTATCTATTTGACAACAGTGACCAATCAGTACTGGCTTGGTTCAGAGAGCACTGACAGCCTGTTGATGCAAGAATCCACACACTGATACTTCAGTGCTTGGGGGCATTAGGAAGGCTAACATGAAGCTTCCCACATTTCCATGCTATTAGTATTATTTAAGTAAAGGGCTTAGAGAAGTATCTTTGCTTTCTCCTAAACCACTTCCACATCCATAAGGTCCAGAAACTGCAGTCAAGACAACTAATTTAGAAATAAAAAGTGAATGTGTATCTTCCTGAGAAGCACACTTCCCTAAGCGCTTATTAAATGGTCAGGTCTTACATCTGGGTTAAACAATAAGACCTAGTTCAAAAGCTTTTGTTTTCATCAGAGAAGATAAACTGAGCAGCAGGCCAAGGCCCACTGTGCTGCTAGGATCCAGCCCAGCAAGAACAACTTATAACCTCTATCTTGATTTAACATGACAGCAGATTCAGAGCAGTTCTAAAAGGCTTTCATTAAACCAGGCTTCATTTTTGGTAACTGCAATCTTAGGGATTCTCTATATCCTTGCCAAATCAATGGCGGTGCCTCTATCACTTCTGCCAATCAGTCCTTCCTATAGCCAGACTACCATGGCATTCATGCTAATGCAAATCCTGCAACACAAGAATAGACCAATTCCCTTCCTTCCTTCCTCCCTCCATCCCTTCCTCCCTCTTGTCTTCTTCCCCATCTCTTCTCTCCTTACTCTCTCCTCTTCCTGCTCTTCAAGCAGCTGCAGTTTCCATTTCATGACGTCTTTTTAAAAGATTTATGTGTATACATGTATTACCTGCATGTACATGTGGTACCATGTGGGTACCATGTGGTACCATGCTGGGAACTGAACTTGAGACCTTGCAAAAGCAGCAAGAGTCATTCTTCCTGTTCCCTGTGTAATGTCTTAATGGCTCCACTGGTAGCCATTCCACGACAACAAAGGCAGTCTTAAAATGTAGCACAACAAATATTTATGTGTATATATTTTTATTTTTAAACGTAGGAGTTTCTTTTAAAAATGGCTATGAATGTGTATATGTATAAGCCAACCAGAATGAACTAGTAGTACATGTTCACACACTAATGAAAGTTATCAACTCCAACACCACACCAACAGGCAAGAACCAGTGACTCAAACATCAAAAATACCTTTAATGCGGTCCCTCAGAAAGTGCTGGATGCTACACAACAGGAGCCCCAAACAAGGGCGTCCCAGCTTTCGGAACCCCACTTCACCCGGACTGCAGCATCACTGCATCTGCTGTCTTCGGTATCTTTAGCAGGGTGGCTCAAAACTTGATATCTTTCTGGATCTTCCAAAGCGTATCTGCGCTCTTCCGTATCTGGGCTTCCTCTACAGTGTTCAGCTTTACCTTTATAATATCGGATATGCCACTTTCTCCCAGGATACAAGGCACGCTGAGGAACACATCTTCTTGTATTCCATATAGACCTTTGATTTTGGTGGAAACTGGGTGTGTCTTCCTGAGATTCTTCAGAATACTTTCTGTGATATCAGCCACAGACAGGCCAATGGCCCAGGAAGTATAGCCTTTCATTTTGATAATTCTATAGGCACTGGCAATGACATCTTTGTGTATATCTCCCCACTGCTCGGGGTCACTGTTAGTTCCTATAGCTGAATTCACATCTTTCAGCGGCATGCCAGCGATGTTGACACCACTCCATATCGGAACGCTCGAGTCTCCATGTTCTCCAAGGACCCACCCGTTGCAGCTTTCAGCATGGATCCCAAGCTTCTGCCCAAGCATGTAACGGAAACGGGCAGTGTCTATGTTACAGCCGCTTCCAATAACACGGTTTTCGGGAAATCCGCTCAATTTCCAGGCTACGTAAGTTAGGATATCCACTGGATTGGTAACAATAATCATTTTGCAGCGGGGGCTGTGCTTGATAATATCGGCAATCATTACTTTAAAGATGGATACATTTCGCTGGACTAAATTCAGGCGTGTCTCGTCTTTTGCCTGGCGTGCGCCTGCTGTGACAACAACTACCTTAGAGTTGGCAGTGACAAGGAAATCCTTGCTGCAAACAATCTTTGGCATATTCATGAAGACAGTGCCATGCTGGAGATCCATCGTCTCACCCTTCATCTTTTCTTCATTACTGTCAACAAGGGCGAGCTCATCAACCAAGCCTTTCGCTATGATGCTTATGGCACAGGTCATGCCGACTGATCCAGTCCCTATTATGGAGACCTTGCTGTGGAGAACGGGCTTCTCGGAGCTGATGTGCTGCAGGAGTTCGCCTTTCACGGTCGCCATGTTGGCTGTGGGGGCGAGGCTCCACCAGGCCCAGTTGAGAGGGGCTCGAAATACCTGACTGGGCCGCAGAGCTTTGCACAAGACCCTGAAGTCCACCCCAGCTGAACCCATTCTTCTGCTGGCCCGCAGGATGCCCGCAGCCATGGCTGCTTCACTCAGGTGAAGGAAGTGACAGGGTGTGGAAGACGGTTGAGGCCAGAACGTTTGATGCCTGCAGTACAGGAGTGGCCCTTCTTTCCATTGCGGCTGCGCAGCCCCCAACAGAACTGCGCACGGGTCTTCCAGCTCCAGCAACTCAGGCCCGCACCCAGTGCTTTATAAAGGCTCTACGCCAAGCAAGGAAACGCTGGAGTTAGTTTCACAAACGTGTACTCTTTAATATTGATGTATAAAGCCCAACCCTGACTTCTGGAATTACCTGTTTTGTTCTTGATGTATATACCAGAAGAATGGTTCTGGCAACCACACATGAAAATAAGGCTAAAACCTTGAACCACAACAAAGGTGCCTGCGCTGTCTACCGAGACGGCAAGGCTGGAGAAACGGGCTGTTGGTTCAGTGAATCCAGCTGGAGGACCTTTTGTTTAGGAAGGAGTGCTGCCTGTGTCCTAACCATGGCGCACACATGGGGAGGGCAGGCTCTACTAAAGCTCGCCTTCAGCTTCAGTTACAGGGGCATCGGATATGCTCTAGCCTCGAGCTGGGGCACCTAGTCCACATGGTCACAAGCTCACTAGGACATACACAACACAAAAATTAACATTTTTAATCTTTCCCCGAGCCCTCCACTTTCTCTTTTTTCTTTCCCTCTCTCTCCCCCGCTCTCTCTAAGTGGACATGCTCTGTTGAGCTGGCTGGCCTTGAATTCGCGCGATCCGCCTGCCTCTGCCTCCCCCAGTGCTGGGACTACAGGTATGCGCCACCGAGCCCAGCGCTCTCCAATTTCTTAAGGAGAAAAATGGCCCTGTAGCCCTTTACTAAAATGAAGGTACCTTTGAAATGACCTTAAAACAGCAGATTTTAAGTTTTAGTCAACGTGTAAATTAGATTCCTAGCAAAATAAAATTACTTCACACCAGTATATCTTATCTCTTCTATGTTTTTCTGGACAGTATTATAAACTAATTTCAAATTCTGAGGAGATGCAAACATTACATTTTTTAAAAAACCTAATAAACTAAAATGTTCCAGTAAATAAGATGGCATTTTCTCTCCGCTGATTCTGATCATGTGACGAAGGCTCAGAGCATTTTCCTCTTGGGAATACAGGAGAGGGTCCTAGGTACATGCAGCCCTGTAATTTTTCAATTTTAGGATGCTGAGCCCTAGCAAAAGTGATATTTTATAGCTAGACTTAAAGAGCAACTTTTTCCTCCCACTGCTGGAATGCGGCCCAGGAAGGCAGCGCCCAGCAGAGAAGCTGGGGATGGGAGTTAGTGGAGCCACTAGCCTTGTGCCGTGCTGATGGTGTTACATGTTTCAAAGCCAGAAGGGCTGCCTGGAGGAAACAGAGCCACTGTGACACAACAGTGTAAAACAGACAGATATGTAACTTCTCGCAACATTGACCATTAGATTTATGGTAGCAAGCTGTCAGAAACTGGAATTTAAAAGAAAAAGAAAAACAAAACTGGTCAATTTTATTGAATGGTGGGCAACAAGTTAGAGGAATTCTTTAAAATGGCCCACAAAATATCACTGATAGCTATCATTTTTTTATCTCAATTTTCACTTGAAATATTTAGCCTGACAACTGTTCCTACCTTCTTTCTGTAATGATTCCTCTGACCAGTGTCAAGTTGTTTTCCAGGATGAGTGCTCTTGAGTGTGAGATTCAAGGACATAAGACTCTTAACTGGACAGCTTCTATCAACAGTCATTTTCTTTCTAGAGACTGAGCCTCTTCAGAAATACAATCTCTATGGCAGCCGCCTCCTCAGTATTTCCCATTAGTCACAACTAAATCAATTTGGAGAGGGGAAGACTACAACATCCCTAAATAAAGAATACCCCAAACAGAGCAGCTTTTTGTGTACACTAAGTCTCAAGCTAAGAAGGCAAGCATGGAGACATATATGACCTCCTGAGCAGATGGATGGCTACTCAAAGATGCACAAAGCCAAATATATAATATATGTAGTATATATTTATATAAATATGCAAACATATAGTACTTAATGGCTTTCTTAGGTGACTCATTATTCCTTTCAAGTGAAGATTTAATTCAAATTTTCTATTAAAACTGCAATGTAATATTATAGCTGAGGCAGGATGATACCTTAAATCTTTCAGATACATCTCTTAGGAGGGAGGACGTTGGAAATCCGGACCACTAGCATGTATCTAGACTGGCAACTGCCACCCAGCCACCGTCTATCGACTCTACCTGGAGTGTCACTGCCGGCCTGTTACCTTCTTTTTCTTCCCTCGGCATCTACCGGTACCCTCCTATTTCAGGTCTCTCTCAGCCCTCCAAGCAGAGCTAGTTTTAAAAATCCTGTGAGTACTGTGTTTGGTAGCCCATGACAGGATTTGTTACAAACAGTAAAAAACAGGTAACATACTACAGATATGTCAAGAGAGGAGTCACGCATATTTATCAGTGTACTCCTGTCCTCTGGAACAGAGCTGGGCACAGGGACAGGGATTTGGAAAGCACATCTGGTGTAACTCCCCACCTGAGGCAGGACAGCTGGAGGGCTGAGGTGAGAGCTGAGAAGGCCAGGCCCTCCTGGTTCTGGGATTCTCAGGGCAGAAGCAAACAAGGTGGGAAGGCAAATAAGACAGGCAGGCTTGGTCCCTTCGAAGCTGCTTGGAAGGCTAATGAAGAAATTAAGAAAAAAAAAAAAAAAGCATGAATGGACTTAGGGTGTCTTAACTATCTTCCTCAGCTTGGCCTTTCTTAAACTTTTGGCACATTAAACCCGAGGCAACAGCAGCACCTACAGTGCTGGAAGCACACAACAGAACAAATGTTGGGTGGCAAAGAGGATATTTTAATCCTTTAAAACTATTTAAAATCTGAGAAATCGTGACAACAACCAGCAGAGGAATTCCTCGATGAGGAACAAGGGGATGCCAGGGGGCAGAGCCAGCGCCTTGGCTGACCTGAAGTAGCTGCAGCTCCGGTGAGAACATAGTCACAAGTTTTCTTTGTGATTAGAAATCTGTAATTGTATAAAAACTGCAGGTAAAAAAAATAAAAATGAAAAATGAAAAATCTAATTGTGTTCATCACTGACCAAAGGTATCCTCAAGTGAGGGTCTTTACAAATCTTAGAGCCCAAAAGTAATTTCCTCTGTCAGACCAAGCCACGGAGTTTGCCTAGAGAGCAGAACACAGGTGTGGGTAGAGGATCTCCATGGAAAATACTTGGAACCATTCTGTTTATAGAATTAAACACTGAAAAAAAAAAACTGGCCAGCTCCTCTGATAAATTCTCTAAATCATATTTCTGCATCATCATATTCCTAATTGTTAGTTCAATGTGAAAGAACAGCTTGGATTAACCACTAAAAAGGACAGGGATATATTATTAATAAGTGTTTGACTTGTGTAACTATTTTATGTTCCTATGTACCCAGGGCCATGTGAACATGTCTAGGGTGGAAAAAGTTAAGAAGCTGGCAGCAATGCAGAGCAGCAGGAGGGTGTGTGTGTGTGTGTGTGTGTGTGTGTGTGTGTGTGTGTGTGTGTGACTGTCAGGGCCGGATGTGGTCAGAGAAGTAGTGGGGTGCCATCAAGTAAGCCTGTTAATAACAAGGAGCCATAGAAAGCTTTCAAATGATGGACTTGAGTGACCTGTCGGACTTACATTTTAGAAATATCGCTGCCATGTGGGAAACCATCTATAGGAAATGAAGATGAGGCTAGACTCGACAGGAAACTGTCAGTGTGCAAGCAAGAGATGAACATAGGCAGAGAGGAGTGAAGGCGTGCTCGGCTGCTGGGCTGATAAGCAGTACACACTCATGGGTTAGAAGACACAATGGAAAATGAGACAATGCCCTGGGCTTCTGACCTACACTGGGGGTTGAGACGATGAAGGCATTTCCTCAATGGGTAAGATTAAGGGAAGAACACAAGAGAAGCAAGAATTGTGGCTGGCGTGTGTTGCCACCAGACACATTATGAGATTAAGTATGTGACGGTGGCCATATGTTCCTGAGAGGCAAGTCTGAAGGGCTGGAGCTATAGGTTTGGACATCACTAGAAAGACAGACTGCTTTAAAGCCAGAGTCTAGATGAGAGAGCTGAGTGGAGGAGAGATGTAGATCAGATCTGGGTGTAAAGATGCTGGTCACTCGGACACTAGAGGCAAACCAGAGGAGGGGCCAGCAAAGGACTGTTTCTCAGAGAGGAGGCTCAGGTGTGTCCAATGCTATGGAGAGGCAGGAACAGGACGAAGACCTAGATCTGGAACAAGGAGGGAACTGACGACTTGGACAAGTTCAGCTGTGGAGAGAAGCTGGATGAAGGGCAAGGTAGGGAGGAAGTGGAGATGGCAACCACAGGCAGCTTTTTGGGGAATCATTTCTATTGGGGATGCAGACAAATAGGCTGCTAGTGTAAGGAGCATAGTGACTACCAGAAGAGGGAATTTTGGAGTTGGAAAAAACCAGAGCAGTTCTGTAAGACTGCAGCAGAAAAAGACAGTCAGCAAAGGCCAGGGACTACAATGACAGCAGAGTCTTTGGGAAGATGACAGGTGGCAGTGGTGGTGGGGAGGGCACAGACACCTACTGTCCAAAGAGCTGGGTCAGGCCTTCCGCAGCAGCATGTATAGACCATCCCTGGGAGTGTGGTTCAGATGCAGGCAGGAGGCGGGAGCATTCTGGCAGCAGCACAAAGGAAGGGATGCAGTGAGGGCAGGGGAACTCAGAAGCCCTTATGATCACCCTGGGGGAAGAAGCGGCCCCAGCCCAGTGGCTGTGGCATGGAGGACAGGTATTTTGGGGAATGATAAAACATGGGAAGATGTCTGGGCAGCTTTGTGGATGCTGCCATTCGGAGACAGTATGACTCATGTTAGGTGCTGGCTGGGAATGAATGACAGTTCAGTGGGGTGGAGGTACACATGGCACCAACAGTGTATATAAGTACCAGTGCCAAGTCCAGTGGGCCCCTGAGCCTGAAGCACAAGGTGGGAGGTCACCCAGTGGCCAGAAGCTGAAGAAAAGATGAGGGCCACAGAAAGGGACATAAGCATATCCAGTACAGCTGCACCAATGCAGAAGTGAACAGAACTGCCAGTGGGAACCAAGCAAGGATCAAGAGAAGGTAAGGAAACTATGAAAGTTCAGAATCTTTTAACACAAACATAAACAATAACT